GGCTCCACAGAGCTCACTCTCCAGGGTTTAGACGGCCCGCCAGTGAGCGGCACACAGAAACCATCGGGGGTCTGGGCTGCAGCACAGCTGGGAGAGCACTTGCTCAGTGTTCACGAAGCCCTGGGCTGTCTCTCCAGCCCCTGCATCAAACCAGCTCTAGCGGGGCAGGCCTGCTAGGCTAGCACTCTGGAGGCAAACGGAGGAATCCAAAGTTCAAGGCCACCCTGAGCTACCTGCAGAGTTCAAGGCCAGGCCGAGCAACACAAGACCCTGGAGCAGTGGTTCTCAACCTTCCTAATGCTGTGACCCTTAATACAGTTCCCCATGTTGTGGTGACCCCAACCATAAAATTATTTTTGTTGCTACCTCATAACTGTAATTTTGCTACTGTTATGAATCCTGATGGAAATACCTGATAGACAGGCTATCTGATATTCGACCCCTGTGAAAGTATTCTGACCCCAGAGGTTGAGAACCACAGCTCTAGGGGGAGGGCCTGGGCGGCCATCCCAGAGGATCAAGGAAGAGCTTTAAGCTGAGGTGATTCTTCAAAGATCTACTGCTAGATCTCAGTTTCCACTGGTTCTTCTTTCATTCTCCATGGTACTGTGCATGGCTTTAGGCGTCAGGTCAGGAAAGCTGTTACAGTTTGATCCCACACTGGGGCAGCTTCTCCTCAGGGCACAAACATTTGGCTCTAACTTCGCCCCGTGTCTTCTAGGCACCTGGGAGGAAAGAGCTGGCAGCAGCCCCTTTTCTCTGCGAACTGTGCCTCCCTTGTGGCGGCTTGAAGGCTCCTTCCAAAAGTGCTCCGCCTTGAAGAGATGGGAATACATTCAAGAACGCCTTGTGTTTCCAACTGGGCCTTGGGCTGAGCTCAGTGATGCTCTTCCACGAGGCAAAAGGCTTGCCTTTGTGCGTTCAAGGTAAAATCGTGACCCGATGAGAAAGTTAGCATGTGGACCTAATTCTGAAAATATAAACAGGAAGCACCCCCACCCCAATATTACCATTTAAAAGATGAAAAAAAGAAAAAAAAAGGAAAGCAAACCTCAAAAATACCTTCCAAGGAAGTCATGGGTGTGACAAACTAACAAAAGTAGTAAAACGTCACGAAAGACTCTGCAGCACCAAACTGAGGGTCTCATTCTGTCAAGTAAAGAGCTGATACCAAAGTTTTCCTCTCTCTATGAGTAAAGAAAGCAGCGTAGATTTGAGTACACAAGTCTTCTCCAAAATGTCTTGGGTTGTTTTTTTTTTTTTTTTTGCTTGTTTTGTTTGTTTGTTTTTAGTAGTAAAGGGTTATCCTTAATCAGATATCCATCGTCAATATTTTACTGAAAATAAAGTCCTTTTATAAGTAGGAACAAATAAGTTTAAATGCACACACGCACACACACACAAAAACTGCCTAATCAATGGAAACCAGATTGTTAAATTAGACTTTCTCATTCCCAGAAATAAGCATAGAACTGTTTTGTTCACACCACTCTAGAGGAAAAAGCCACTTCTGGTTTTAGAACAGTTTTATTCACATAATTAAAAAAAAAAAAAGTAGCCTTGTTGACTCGTGCCTGTAATCCCTGTTACTTGGGAGGCTGAGGTAGGAACACTGTCACAAATTCAAGGCCGGACTGGACTACTGAATGAGACCTTGTCTCAAAAACCAAACCAAACAGAAACAAACAGATAAAAACTATTCCTTTCCATATGACACATTTGGAGACTGTGGTATCCTGAGATCCCCAGCGTGCCAGCCACTGGATGCAGCGGCTACACCCCCAATTCTTTTTTATTGAGCCAGATTCTTGATTATTAGCCCAGGCTAGCCTCAAACTCTGAACCTTCTGCCATAACAGCCAGAATTATAAGCAAGCCCTGCTTTAGGACAAAACCCACAAACCAGAGAAGGTGGGTAGAGAGGAGGGGGTGGGGAGATGGAGACAGAAGTTCCTGAGTTATAGTACTTTGGTATTGTTTACAAGAATATTCTTCAGAATGGGTGGTGGTGGCTCACACCTTTAATCCCAGCACTGGGGAGACAGAAGCAAGTGGAGCTCTGTGAGTTCGAGGCCAACCTGATCCACAAAGCAAGTTCCAGGATAGCCAGGGCTATTCCACAGAGAAACCCTGTCTCGAAACAAACAAAACAATATTCTTCAGAAGAACTCTTTAACTTGGGGTTATCATCAGGTAAGCTTTTTAAAAAAATAATCCTCAAATGCTCAAACAACAAAACAAAAACCTGAGGGTTGTTTTTTTGTTTTGTCTTTGCTATGCATGCTTTCTTTGTAGGAAATTCTATAGTAGTCTACCCTACCAACGAAAGGAAAGGCATCACTAACAGAACCCATACACCTGGGCATGACTTGGCACATACACACACACACACGTGCGCGCGCACCCTGTAGGGCATTAGAACAACAAGGCTTCCATGGAGCCCACTTTGAACAACATCAGATTCAGGCATGTTATTCACTTCTTTCTTAGCACCTTCCTTTTACTATGGGGCCGCCTCCATCACCAGCCAACATAATTTTAACAAGCAGCAAGTTTATCTGTCTATGTGCGCCTGACACAAACACAGACTATCTATAACAGCACTGGAAAGAAAAGATTAAACATGTGCCAAAAACCAAAAAGTGATGCTTTTTAATCTTAAAGTGGTCTTTGGGTATGAGGAGGAGGAGGAAGAGGAGGAAGAGAAATCAATTGAGACTAAGAAAATGGAGGTGAAATGAGAAGTCAGAGCCAATAGGAAGTGTTGGTCAAAATATTTATGTTGTAATACTCCAAGCACGTATAGCAGTTTTTCCTCCTCCTATAGGTATCAGGAAGTGCACGTTTAAGAAACATATCCATCTTAAACTCAGCCCAACATATATCACTAGCTTCTTGGAAGAAATAAGAAAACAGGGAGGGTAAGGATTAGGGAGGAGGTGAGACGGTTGGGTTTGCAACAAAGCTTTTTAGAGGAATTTAGCTCTGCGTTATGCAATCAGCAATCTGCTAGTGACAGAAATCAACTCTTGTTTTTGTTTTCTTTCTGATGTCAGGGGGGAAAAAAAAGGTGTTGAGGGGAGATGGAGAGACTGTTCTTGACCGCCAAAACCTACAGAAAACAGGCCATCCTCCTGTGACACTTGGCCAGAGGTATGCTGGTGCGTTAGCTGGATTCTTAAAACCAGAAGCCCCTTCCCATTTAGCACTGTCGATTTTAACAACTGTATTCACACATATGCCAAGCGGAAGCCAATCAACAGAATTCCCCCGGACCCCCAGCTGGAAAGGTTCAAAATCAAATCAATGTTCACAAAACGGAGTCAGGGAAGCGAGAAATAAATAATGCATAAATAAAATACATCCCACAGACACTGAACATCAAACAACAAGAGCAAATGAGCAAAACAGCAACAGCAGAACAATGGGGGGTAATATCCCAATTGAATGGTAAGAAAATTATGTGAGATAACAGACTCAACAGCTGAAAGCTTATTATGGCTCAGGCAGCTATCCAAGCGATTTGGAAACCCAAGATACAAGCAGATGATAAATGCCACTACTACGAGGCTGCACAAAGCCACCATCCCGGTGACACACTAGCCCTTTCAAGGGACACTCTCTGAGGATACTCCAAAAACAACCTATAGAATTCTACTTAGGCAAAGATCTACTCCACTGCACACGATGGGTCCTTGAGGGTAAGTGTGAGTCCCTAAACTCGCCGATCTGGGCCTCAGTTTTCTCGTTTTTTTTTTTTTATTTGTTTGTTTGTTTTTGTTTTTTTACAATAAAAGAATGTGGTACAATGGGGGGGCGGGGGGGGCGGGGGGGGGCGAGGCTTCCCAAGTCCAGGATTCTATAACCCAGTTTCCCACTATTTATTTACCACACACAAGCTTACGACCCACAGCAAGACAGGCACAAAAAAAGGGGGCACGGATCCTTGAGCAAGAGAATCGGTATCTCCTTTTGCCTTTAAATTCCTTGTGGCTTTCAGTAATCCCAGCTTCCTAAGCGCGGGCGCTTGTTTTTCTCCCTCGCCTTTTCCATCACTGCTGGCTACAAGTGTTTGCAAACGACTCCTGCTCCAGACAAGTTTTTTTTTCCGTCTCTGATCACTCTGACCATCTTGCCAGATTCCTTCAGCCTCAGACAAGCTTTTGTGATAAGACAGCTCTCCTTCCGACTCCCCATATCTACCCCCGACACAAGGAGCACTTTTTTTTTTTTCTTTACTCTTTAACCCTGGCTAGAAAGGAAAAAAAAAAAAAAACAGAAAAGGAAAGGAAAGAAAAGAAAAGAAAAGAAAAGAAAGGAAAGGAAAGGAAAGGAAAAGAAAAGTGAAAAGAAAAGAGCCCACATCCCACCACCACAAGTTCAAGCCCAGGCCTGGCAGGTCCTGATGTGGGACCCGCAGCGCAGAGCCTTATCAAAATGTTCGTGTTTGTTGTGTTGACTCCTTATAAGGCACTATTTCTTGAAGCTTTGCTGATACCCCCACCCCACCGGGCACCTTCGGCTCATCTTTCCCCCTCCCCCGGAGTCTAGAAGAACCCCCCCTTTGGGGGGAGATAATAATAATAATAATAATAATAATAATAATAATAATAATAATAGAAAAAAACTGGAAGACCATAAGGACTCTTCAGAATTGCAACACGAAGGTTCGAGGCAGCCTACAGCAGTCCCCTTGCTCCCAGGGGGGATCGGCTCTGGGGGTGCCCCTCGCACACCCATCGTGACACGCACGCTCCAATACTTTCCACGGCATCCACGGCGCCCCACGCCGCGGCCTCCGCGCGTCTCCCTCGCTACCCCCCTCCGCCAGCGCCCCGGGCCCCTCTGCAACCGCCCGGCGCGCGGCCCCCGCGGCCTCCCCACGGCCCCGGAGCGATGGCGGCGGCTCGGCCCTGCCCAGCTTCCAAGGCGGCGGGAGAACGGGGCCCCACCCCGGGGCTCCCCGGGTCCCCCGGGCCGGCGCGGGGCGCAGCTCCTACCTCGTTCTGCCCCAGCAGAGCCAGCTGTCTCTCGGGCCCCGCACGCTCGCCTGCGCCCGCTCGCTCGCTCGCTCGCTCCCTCCCCGTGCAGGAGGACCTCAGCGCGTCGTCGCCGGCGCTCGGTCCCCGCCCGGGGTGACGGCTTGGGCCGCCGACTCTCCTCCCGCCGGGGCCCGCGGGGGCGCGCGCGCGCGCGCCGCTCTCGCGCTCGGGCTCCGGGGACGCGCGCCCCCGCCCGGAGCCCCGAGCGCGCCCGGCTTCCTGGTTCCTCCCGGCGCGCGCTCCCCAGACCCGAGGTTTCCCTCCGCGGCCCCCCGCGCGGCCGCCCTAACGGGGGCCCCGGAACCCTGTGGCGCGCCGCGGAGCGCGGGGGCGCGCTCGGCCGGGCCTGCGCCGCTCGCTCCCGCGGTCGGCCGAGCCCGCGCCCCGGCCTCCTGGACACCCCCGCGCGGCCCCCAGGGCGCCCAACACATGTTGCGTTCTTTGGGTGGAGGCGAGCGCGGCTCGAGGGCACCGGCGCCCGGGTTCTGGGAGACTTGAGTCCCCCTCCGCGGCCCGCCCACCGCCCTCCGGCCGGGAGCCAGGCCAGCGTTCCGGGTCTTCCAGCTCTCAGGCGGAGGGCAGAAGTCCATAGTAGCCCCGATCAATAATTATCCCGGGCTTGCTTCCCGGAGGGCGGCTTAAACCATGGCCCCCCGTGGCACCACCCCGACGGGCACAGGCAGGACCCGGCCGACTGGATCGGTAGATGCCCCTGGGTGACTATGGGGCACAGGGAAGACGTCTCCCTCCCTGGGAAATTTTGCCGACTACAACTACTCAGGGTTAAGGGAGTGGCAGGTTTATCCAGGGCCGTCTGCGTTCACCCCGTGGGTGGAGGGTCTCCGCGATCTTGTTGGGGAGGGGCTGTTGTACGTGTGGGAGAAGGCAACCTGAGTCACCCACTCTCCTGCGCTCCATCTCCGGAGCTGGCCAGTGGTTTCCCTGGCAACCCTCCAAGGGCCAGCTCGGAAGCGAGGCACGTTGGAGGTACAGAAACCCCAGCTGCAGGGGCAAAAAAGGGAGGACCCCTTCCCGACCTCCCCACCCAACAAACACACAGAACGCCCTTTCTCTACCGTCTCCTACAATTTGTTCATATGAAATTTTCCCTAGCCAGGCAGGACGAAGAGGCAAGCTCTCCCATGATCCTCTTCCCAGCAGCCTTCCCTTTACCCCAAAGAGTAACACCAGCCACAAAGGTGGTTTTTTGTTTTGTTTTGTTTTGTTTTTTTGGTTTTTTTATCTACAACTGATCACAAGCCCTTCTGCCCCTGCCCTAAGCTTACCTGACAGAGGCAGGGAGCTTGGAGGCTGGGCCAGGAAGCTGGATAGAAGCAGCGGCCCTGGGCTTTTCCCAGCTTAGGGCACATTTCTCCTTTCAAGCTTCTGTACCTTCATATGTGCTGCCAGGGGCACACTCCTGGCCTCTCAGGGCCTACCCTTCAGTGTGATGCTCTAGGGCAGTGGTTCCCAATCTTCCTAACGCTTCGACTCTTTAAGACAGTTTTGTTGTGGTGACCGCCAGCCGTGAGATTGTTCTCGCTGCTCCTTCATAACTGATTTTGCTACTGCTGCTTATCGTGATGTAAATACCTGTGTTCTCAGATGGCCTTAGGTAACCCCTGAGAAAGGGTCGTCTGCTCTCCACAGGGTGCTGCTCTAGGGCTTGGGGTCTACATAGCGTGACTGTTACTCTTCTGTTTTTTTGGGTTTTTTTTCACCACATTTCATGCATGCCTTATCACCATACCTCCCGAGTGGAAGAACAATTTCTTGTTAGCATCTGTCTCCTCCAAGGGCAGTCACAATATCCTGTTCACCTTTAAATCCCCCCACCCACACCCAGCCCTGAGTAGACACCCAGAAAATACGCTATACCCTGGAAAAGAAAACTGCAAGGATTATGCACATATCAAGAGCTCAAGGTCCAAAACCAGGTCATACTATTTGGAACTTTTTTCTGCCCTGTTCTCTATTTTCGCCACATAGCAGTATCAACGCTTTCTACTTCATGGCATCCCGAGAATCAAGTGAGCTAAGAGATGTGAGATCCTTCAAACACTGTCAAACACTATATTTCTGTTAACTATCATTATTATTTAAGAGCTAAGATTTAAATCCCTCTTCCCAAGGCTGGATAAGGTCTAGGACTCAAACTCAGATACCATGGTTGGTGAGCAACAGCATCTACAAAGGTCACTCTAGCCTAGAAACCCATAGCACATCTCCGGCTGCTCACTAGGTGGCCAATTTAGTCCTGTGTTTGGAAGACACAAAGGCTGGAATGTTCTGTGGCTACCTCAGCAAAACAGAAAGCTGTCATTCTGGGACAGGAATAAAGGTCCAGCAGCTTTCTCCCCGCCTGAAAACAAATGAGCCCAGATAACTCTCCTTTGGATCATACAGCCACACTGCTCTATGTTGTTGGAAGACACCAGGCCTAGGATACAGAAAGTGCTCGAAGGAAAATGAATAGGAAAGTAAGCTCTTGGAAGCTTCCAGAATGATACCTGGAGTTGCAGAGATGACCGCTGGGGGACAGCTTTCAGTCCACTCCGGCCTGACCAAGAGAGAAAGAAACTGCATGGAAGAGCCTCAAGGCCTGGCTCACAACTTGAGGCCATACATCCTTCTGGCCCTCAGCCAGGGCTAACTGGAGCCTCCTTCCTCCATGCTCGTGGATGACCATGTGGCTGCTGCAGAGAACAGCTCCTTCATTTCACATCCTTCCTTCATAGCCACAGGGAGATCATGAGACCATCTTCTTGAAACGTAATTGAAACCACAACCATGATGCCCTTCAGCCAGAGACTCGTGTTTATTTGGCTTCCCTCTGAAGACTTCTCTAGATCCCAGGAATCAGGCTGGCCCCGGGGAACCACCTGCCACAGATTAGCCAGGGAAGGGCATTCATGGGAATTTCCCTTCTTTGGTATAGGAAGAAGTCAGATCAGGCCCTTAGAGCCAGAGGAGGCCAGACACTTAACAGCCAGGCAGCAGGAACCTCGGAGCTCTAGGGCCTGTGGAAGCCGTCACAGGCAATGCCTTGGGAGGGGCTCTGGCGGTATTCAGGATTGCTTCTGCCCAAGATTAAAAGTTAGGTCTTCATCTAAATCTCAGCCAACTTTGTCAATTCATCAGCTATGCGTCCTTGCTCAAACTGCTTAAGGTCTCTGAAAGCCTCAGTTTCCCCGCAAGGATAAGTCACGGTTAAAGGGTAAAGTTAATACAATCTTTGAGGGTACATGCAAGACCCTCATAACAACAGGTGTCCTACCAGAAGGGATATGAGAAACAGGGGAAGGAGAAGCAATTGTTCTCTGTCTGTCCTGTTGGAGCGTGTGCCTCTTATGCCACGTAAAATGTTAGTTAAAAGGATGTTTGCGTTTTTAGAGGAAAAAGTAGGCAATGTGGTTGAGTGAGCTCTGAAGTCCCAGAACTTGGGAAGCAGGGACTGGAGGATCACTGCAAGTTTAAGCCCAGAAAGAAAGAGAAAGGAAAGAAAGAAAGAAAGAAAGAAAGAAAGAAAGAAAGAAAACAAGAGCATGCTTATGAAACCAACTAAGCATGTTGCCTGGTTTAAGGAAAGCCATGCAAAAAAGTGTGCTTTCTTTCCTTCTCTCAGCCTAGTCCCAGCCAGCCTGCTGGGTCAGGAGGTAGCAGATTTTTGCTGAGGGTAGGGAGGGGTAGGGAGGGGAGTAGAGAGATGAAGGTGTAGACAGAACTCACCACCTGGAGATTCTCACGCACTCCTATCTGGTGCCTGTGTACCTCACCTATCTGGGCACCCTTCCAGGAATAGTTAAGGGGTGGCTCTCCGGAAAGCTCAAGGGCCCCTGTGTCTCCTGGGACAGGGTCACCATGCCCTCTACACCCAGAGTCCTGGGGCAATGGTGCATTAACCAAGGGAGGGTGTGGCTGAGGCAGAAGAAAGAACAGTGCCAGCACAACCAGTATCTTGCCAGCTTGCAGGGCAGGTTAGGAACTCAAAAGCCAGCCCAGCAGCAGTCAAAGATGCTGCTGCTGCTGCTGCTGTTGTTGTTGCCGCTGCCACCGCTGCTGCTGCTGTTGCCATGGGGTTGGAAGCAGGTCAGTGGGATGTGAACAGACTGAGGCTAGGACTACAAATAGCAGAGCCTTTGGCGGGTTCTGGGGTGGGGAGAGTGATCCCAGATATGCCCTGAACTTGGAGCTCCGGGGAAGCTCTGAGCTTTAGGAACCTTCTTATCCAACGAAAACATGTACAAAGCCTCTATTCTGAATCAAGAGTGGAACCCACCCTTTGGGGGAAAAAAATAACCGATTAGGGTCATAAGAAGGGGCACACAATATACCTGGGACACACAATATACATAGCGCCAGGCGCTGTGACTAAGTCTTGGTTGGTCGATATGCTGGTTTATTGAGACAGAGTCAGCTCATTGCATAGCCCAGGCAATTCTGTCTCAGCCTCCCCGATGCTAGGATGGCAGGCGTGAGGCATGGCTCCTGGCCTTGTGGCTGAGTCTTAACAGCCATCCTAACACAAGATCACATGGCAGAGCCAAGGTTTGTGTTAGGCTCGTATGATTCTAAAGATTGTGTTCCTCTGGAGCGCCAAGACTCTGCGAACAAATAGAAGGGTGTCAGCAATGGGCCAAGGGGGCATTGGTGTTCACAGAAACTTCAGGTTGAGAAGGGGTGCAAGGGGACTGAGGTGGCTGAAGGAAAGACCCATGCTCAGGACTGAGCTCAACAGTACATGAAGGCCAGGCCCAAAGCCACAAGCAGAGGGCTGGGACATGGGATCAGACTTCTTTTGATGTGACCGGCTCCATTTGCTCCTGGGACTATGGATGGAGCCCTATTTTGAAGCTTGGAGTACAGGGAGCAAGCCAGGACCATGTGGGTGGGTTGGAGACTTAAGAAACCAGGGAACAATGAGAAACAGACAGTAAGAAAGAAAGCCCCTGGAGTCATAACAAAAGAAAGTGGCAGAACCCTGTGGTTGGGGGGGGTAGGGGTGACAGGGAAGGAGCCCTCTCTCACATACCCCCCAGAAGACTGGAGGTTGGGTACAGGCTGGTGGAGACACAAAAGAGTTCTTGTTGAGTTGGAAGGAGGGCGAACGGGCTGAGCGGGAAGAGGGGACGATAGCCATCAGGGTGAGGACATGAAGCCAGGCTGGCCTGGGCCGCTCAGAACTGTGGCCAAGCCCACTCCTGCCCATTCCACTCTCTCCCATGCCTGCCGTGAGCAGGGTGTGCAAAGCACAGGTTTCTGGCTGCCCGCCTGGCCAGGGAGAAGATGGCCACCCACTACGGTGGCTACACCCTCTTCTCTGCGTCTAGAGTCGCCATCCTGCCAGCCTCTCTGGGTAGGTGGGCATGGCCGCTGGGCAAAGAAAGCAGGATTCCAACCCTCCACTGCCACCAGGGCTAGTCCCACACCCTTCCTCTCTCCCTCCCTTCCCTCTATTCCCAGAAACAAAGGACAGTCACCATGCCTCAGGCAGGGTAGCCTTGTGTTCTCTTGGTGAGTTCTCTGTAAACTGACTTCTCTGAAGAGCGTTAAGAGTCCAGGGGACAGAGGTCGGAAGGGGCTTCACCCCAACTCTGAGGCTCCTTCCCCTTCTCAGCGTTCACAGAGAAAACACACACAAACCCATACACACACACACACACACACACACACACCTATGCCTACACACATGAACATGCATGCTCTGAGTGCACGTGCACAGACACACAAGCATGCACGCACATGCACACGTTCCCCCATTCCCCACCTCCTGCCCTGGCTGCATGGACATTAAAAGGACAGCGTTTCTACACAGAGGTAGGGTAGGTGCTGAGCCCTGGTCTGGGGCCTAGGCTGGGGCTGGAACGGTTGTAACAGTCCAAGGAGAACTCAGATGGGGTGAAGGAGGATGTGTAACAGCCTCGGGGGTGGGGTGCCCGGTCTCCCCTTCCAGCCACAGGACACAAACACCTCTTGGGACACCTCTGATATTCTTGGGGACACACCTCTGGTTCCCAAGCAGCGGAAACTCACCTTGAAGAGGAGACAGCAGAAGAAAACAGAGGCGATTCTGTCCCACCTACCTACCGTAGGTAGTGAGGCCAAGGGAGACACCTGTCTGTTCTCCCTACCAGGTGCTTTACAGGCCTTTCAGACTGTCCTGGGCTCTGAGGGCAAGTCGTAAACGGCCACCTAGTATTATCTTTTAAGCCACACCCTCCTTCATACAACATGAGGTCACATGGACACGTTCTGTACAACAGAGCTCTTCTCAAAGTGGGAATGCAGGGGCCACGGTGGCTACCACAGAGCCATCTGGGCGAGGCCAGCCAGAGGAGGGAGACCTCGTCAGTCTACAAGTGTGGCCCTGGATTGGAGGTGGCACACCTAGGAACAATCGCTGAGACCCTGCCCACAGGCTGGTGGTGGTAGCAGCTACATACAATCCCAGACACCAGATAGGTCCCTTTCTTGGGTGAATCACTGGGGTGATGCCAGCCCTGCCTTCACTCAAGGTTGTTGGCAGGATCAGTCAAGCTACCTACCATGTTAGCATAAACGTGCCATGATTCAAGTCAAGGTGGGTGTGGAGGGGGGTGTGTTTCGGGGAGGGTTAGGGTTAGGGTACACACGGGTGTATGGGCACACCTGTGCATACAGGAGTGCGGAGGCCGGAGGTCAACCTCAGGTATCATCCTCAGGAGCTGCCCACCTTGCTTGTGGAGGTAGGACCTCTCACTGGGGCTTGGGAGAGTTGACTATGCTAAGAGGGCTGGACGGTGAAGCCCAGAGACCCAGCTGTCTCCACACCCCCAGGGCAAACCACCCTTCTGGGCTTTCTAGTGTGACTGTTTTAAATCTCCCCTTATTCCATTTAACACTTCAACCCAGAACTGGGGATCATGCACCATCAGAGGCAAGAGGCCAGCCCCTACTTCCAGTTCCATCCAGGTACCGGGCCATTTCTGATCTCCCTAACTCCTTCCCCCAGGCTTCAGTTTTCTGCCCTAAACCTTGGTCCCCTAAAACCACCAGGGTGCTTTGTGGCGGGAGATAGCAGAGACCAATCTAAAGGACCAAAAGCAAAAAAAAAAAAGCCAAATTTGACGCTTCCAGGCAGTGGTGTTATCCAGAGTCACAACCACAGTCATTCTGCCCCCGATCCAACTCAACACCCTCCCCTCCTTGGCTCCCATCTTGGGAAAGCTGTAGAGGTGCCCTGTACCCCCACCTGCCCATGGTTCCTCTTTAAGATAACAGGAGCAGGCCAGCGAGATGGCCCAGCAGTTAAGAGCACTGGCTGCTCTTCCTGAGGACCGGGGTTCAATTCCCAGCACCCACACGGCAGCTCACAACTGTCTGTAACTCCGGTTTCAGAGGATCTGACACCCTCACCTCAATACACATAAAGTCAAATTAAGATAACAAGGGGGCATAGAAAAAAGCAGAATCCAAGCAGCGAAAGATACAAGATGAACTGGCAAAATATCTCAGTGGGTAAAGGCGCTTGCCAAGCAAGCTTGGCAACTGGTATAAGGTTGACAGGGAGACCTTATTCCATAATGATCGTCTCGAACCACCAAACAAGGGCCACAGCATGTACACGCACAATAGCGATAAAAAAAAGATGTTTAAAGATACAAGGATTAGGAGGCCAAATGACCCGCTGAGGAGAGGGCCAGCATCCAGGCAGGGAGCCACCCATGGGCCCTGATGGGGTCTGGGGACATGTGTGGGCTTGCACAGACTCTTCTGTTCTCTTCCAGTTCTGCTCACTGGCAAACCCCCACCCTAGCCTTTTAGGACACAGGCCTAGCCATCTTCCCAGCAAGCCAAGCCCAACCCAGCCAGATGTTTGGTGGGAACCCCAGACTTCTGCCGGTCCTGGGGGGGAGGGGTCTGGAGCAGCTGATGCCTGGAAGTGGGTGGGCAGCTCTGTGCTACCGGATCCCAGGTGTCTGGGGGGGGGGCATGACCATCGTGGTCCTCTGCCTGTGAACATAGCCCAGAGAACTTGGGAAGCCTAATGAACCTGCTGTTGCTGGCCACCAGACCTGCCTGCCTGCCGTGAAAGATTGGCAGCACAGGTGCCAATCGGGGTCCAACTATCCCGGGACAATGGGCTTAGATCTGCCGCTGACGGGCTCCAAGACTCCGGTCAAGTCACACCCCCTATCTGGTCTCTTACAGTTCCCACAGGTAAAATCACCTTCGTGGCCACTGCCAACTAAACATTCACCCGGACCTGAGGGCTGAGGTATCCAATTGTATGGGGTGGAGGAGGAAGAGAGGGGGAAAGGCTTATGCTTCCTCCCCCAGAGCCCCTTGCCCTATCTGGTCCCGGCAGAGCATCTGAAAACTAAGATCCCCCCCCCCCCCCCCCCCCCCCTGTGCCCCCCCCCCCCCCGCCCGTTTTCAATTCCTTTCCTCGTGATTCTGCCAAGAAAAGTCACTGTGACCACACACAGAGGGCGGGGAGAATCCAGACATTTCAACTTCTGCAGAATAGGTTCAGGTTTTTCCCCCCTACCTCTGAAGTGAAAAGAATAAAAACTGGGGAGGTTGAAAGAGCCAGAAAGAGGGACCGGGAACTAGGAATGGAGAGAAAAGATACAAGGAGGAATGAGGGAGGGAGGAAGCTGATGAGAACGATGCCCCCAGGCCACTGGGTCTTGGCCCAGATGGGCTGTGAGCAGGCAGCCAGGCTGGCCCCTCCTTTGGTACGGCTCATGCCAGCTGCCAGGCAGAGAGGAGGCCCAGAGGAGAGGGAAGCTGGGCAAAGGGGAAGGCAAACTTCCAGCCTGGCCTTGTCCGACCCTTGGGCCTTGAGGGGGAACCCTTTGGGATGGGGACTATGATCCAGGCAAAGCGCCAAAGGAGCAGGTCTGCTGCCACGGCAAAGCCCGCGGGCAGATGTGACGCCGAAGAGTGCAAAAGTATCCCCCCCCCTTTTTTTTTTTGGAAGGCTGGATCAGCTCCAGTTGTGACCCTTCTAGGTAAACAGAGGGGCTGAATATTTTGTGGGTCACAGTTGGCTGATGAGGCCGGTGTGACCACAGTGTGGTCCTGGGCCCGCCCCGGCCCCTTCTGGATTGACATTTCTTACCTGCAAAGGTCGGAAGGGGGTGGCAAGGTCACATGGTGGAAGCCACGCAGAGAGAGAGAGAGGTGGGGAGACCAAAGTGGACTTGGCCTCCCTGGAATCCCCAGTGTTTTCTAAACTTTTGACTCTGCAGTACTTAAGGAAGCCACACACGCCCTCACCTGAACACACACACACACACACACACACACACACACACACACACACACACAGAGAGAGAGAGAGAGAGAGAGAGAGAGAGAAGGAGGCATCTCTCCAGGTAGCCTTTTTTTTCTTCTCCCCACCCCGTTTTTTTTTTTTTTTTTTAATAAATAATAATATTTTTTAAGCAGATGATAAAACTGAGGCCCTAGTTTGGGATTTCCAGAATTCGGGACTTCCCGGCACCCTCCGGCTGCTCCAGCTCAGCTGTCCCAGGACGCTCCCTCCTCACCCCCACCCCCGGAGCTGCAGGGGAACACAGACCAGGAGTCCCGGGCAGGGGGGGAGGGAAGACGGGGGGGGGGAGAGCAGGGGGCGGGAGGACACCCCGCCGTCGGGGCGGTCTTTCGCGAGGCGCCGCCCAGCCTGGCGGTCCCGTCGGGTGAGCGGGGCGGCCGCGGCTCACTCTCCGGGGAGCCGGGGCCGGAGGGCGGAGGCTGGGAGGGAGCGAGCGCGGCTGGGAGGGGTGCTGGCGCTCGCTCGCGCGCTGTGTATGGTCTATCGCAGGCAGCTGACCTTTGAGGAGGAAATCGCTGCTCTCTGCTCCTTCCTGTAGTAACAGCCGCCGCCGCCGTCAGGAGCCGTCAGGAGCCCCGGGGGCCCGGAGCCACAGCCGCGGGGCGCTCCGCAGCAGCAGGTGGGTGGCCGGGTCGGCGTGGCGTCGCCCGGGGCGCGTGGACGGTGGGGGCATCTAGGCTGCAGCCGCGTCCCCGGGACGCAGCACTCGGGAGTCCCCACGGCCTGACGCGGGACAGGCACCCGTCCAGGCTTCGAACGCGAGCTCCGGAGGGAGCAGGGACAAGGGACCCGCGCGGGGCGCAGCCGGAGGTGGACTCACGCGGTGGACGCTGACGCTGTCAAGTTCCACCCGGAGCGGGCAGACTCTGGGGTGCAGCTCAGGGCTGTCCCGAAAGACAGCTTCCTAGCCCTTTCTCCCTGACAACCCCAGACACGTGCCCAAGGAGACCTGGACCTCGAGTGGCCGTCGCTGTATTGCTCTCACTCTTAGGTCGGAGCAGCTGCCCTTCCCAGAAATTAAGAATGTGGGTCCGAGGCTGGGTGGGAAGAATTTTTGCAGTCGTCTCTATTTGGGGATGGGGGTGGGGGTGGGACTGTGGGCCTCTATCTCTTAAGTTTCCCTTTCGGTTTGTAGACACCCCCTCCCCCTTTCCTTTAGTCTGGGGATAACTTGATGGGGCGAAAGGGATAGGAAGAGAGGAGGGCATATGCCAGTCCAAATCTCCGCTCCCCCTCCCCTCCCAGCCTGGAGGGTTCCTTGTTGGAAGGGAAGGGTGGCCATCTCTCCTTCCCGGGGCGCAGGAAAGCGTGCCTGGGGTGAGGGGAGGAGCCTGGCCTCACCGCGGTCTTCGGGTCCTTTGGTGGCACTGCAAGGCACTGGCAGGCCAGAGACCTCTTGGGGACCAATGATTTCTCTTCTCCCCTAGGTGAACAGCCATGGCCGGCTGGATTCAGGCCCAGCAGCTGCAGGGAGATGCGCTGCGCCAGATGCAAGTGTTGTATGGGCAGCACTTTCCCATCGAGGTCAGGCACTACCTGGCCCAGTGGATCGAGAGCCAGCCGTGGTAGGTGCCCCATGCCCTGAGGCCTTCACCCTCAGTGGGGGTGGTGCCTCGCTCTCTGAGCCAAGGGTCTCCTCTTCGTGGTTTGGTTATGACCCTGGTTCTATCTGTCCTTGTGCGGAAGAGGCGGTGTCCCTGGGAAAGGGGAAGAGGGAAATGGGAGCTACCGGAGGGTAGACTTTTCTAGACTTTGATGCTTATACAGCTGCCAGGAACAAGTCTTGTGGGACTGGAACGCCCCGAATCGCCCTTGGCGCTTCGTCTTCTCGGTACAGTTTCTCTCTCCTTTCCTGTCTCAAGGGATGCTATTGACTTGGACAATCCCCAGGACCGAGGCCAGGCCACCCAGCTCCTGGAGGGCCTGGTGCAGGAGCTGCAGAAGAAGGCAGAACACCAGGTCGGGGAGGATGGGTTTCTGCTGAAGATAAAGCTAGGCCACTACGCCAAGCAGCTCCAGGTGGGTGTGAAGGCCTGCCTTCTGCAGGAAGGCCCCCTTTAGCTTTCCTTCCAACGTCAGAACCCTTGGGATTTTTACTGGCTTGGCCACTGAGTCACCATGTGACCAAAAGCTTACTGGCAACTTTCCTTCAATTTCCCCCACCCCCTCTTTCTAAGTCAGACCTGTCAGATCCTTTAACATATTACAAAGCAAGAGGTGGGAGTGTGGGGGAGGGGGGAAAGGGGTGTTTCCAGCAAAGGGGGTGGGGCAGGGTGGGTGAAGCAGCCTTACAGACAGATCTAGCCGACAGACAGACAGACAGACAGACTGAGTCAGGTGGACTCCTCCGCAGGAGAACGGAAGCCTGGCAGAGTCTAGAAATGAGGGGATAGGGCAAGTAGACGGTCCCCTCGGGGCTCATTTAAAGTCGAGATTGCTGCAGAAGAGAAACAGATTTGCCCTGGAGCAAGAGCTGGATAAAAGGCTTTGAAAAAAAAAAAAAAAAAAAAGCCTCTCCTTTATGTGGAGGGGGGCAGGGGTTTTATGGAATCGGGAAAGGGGTGTGGGTGGCATTCGTGGTCAAGCATTTATCGGAATTCACTTGTGTTTCTTAGAGAACCCCTCTTGCCTCCAAACAGCAGGATGCAAGGGGAATAAAAGCTCATCCTAGAGAGAAAGGAAGAAACAATAGAAACCAGAGGAGAAGCAAAATAGGAACCCAGGGCCAGGTGCCTAGTGGAAAGTACCTTGATGCCGGCCTCAGATGCCCCAAGTCTGTTTCTCTGTCTCTGCTTCTTTCTCTCTCTCTCTCATTTGCCCCAGGACACATGCCTAGCCTATCTGAACATCAATTTTTTCATCCATGACTTAAGAACAGTTTGAGTTTCTGTCTTAGGATTCCCGTGCTCAAAGAGAGTCAAAGCTAGTGGGAGGTTGGAGGTGCTTTGTGTTCAGACAATGAGTTTCTACATCACTATAAACCTAGTAAGAAACTCTGGGGGAGGGAGGAGGACAAAGGAGAGCTAGGGGTGTCTGATAATCCTGGGGCTTCCTTGGAAAAGCTCAGGCTGAGGGGAGAGGACGGGATGGGTGCGGCAAGGAAGCCAGCGTGGCCACACCAGGTGGCCACTGGTGGTTCCTCTTGTCCTCTTTCAGAACACCTACGACCGCTGCCCCATGGAGCTGGTCCGCTGCATCCGGCACATTCTGTACAACGAGCAGAGGCTGGTCCGGGAAGCCAACAATGTGAGTGTCTGCGGGTGTGGGAGAGGAGCTGGAGAGGCCTCCATAGACTTCCTCTCTAGATCCCACTATGTTTATGTGATGTGGTTAATGAGGAGAGCACAAGACAGGGGCAGGTGTGAGAGGCCGTGTGTTTTCAGGCTATGGGCAGAGTGACTCCCTGGGCCCAGCCCCTGGCTCTCTAAGCTTTTATTTCTTCTTTTCTTCCATTTCCTTCCCTTTCTCTTCCTTTCTTAAAGATAAGATTCACTCATAGGTGTGTGCGCAAGTGTGTGGGTGTCCTTGGAAACTAGGGGCATCAGATTTCCTATAGCTACTGGGAGTTGTGAGCTGCCTGATATGGGTGCTGGGAACCAAATTTGGTTCCTCTGCAAGAACTTCGGAGCCATCTCTCCAGCCTCTCTCTCCTTTTCCCCTTTCTTTTCTTCCTTCTTTCTTTCCTGGCCTCTAATGATGACCCAGGGCTTCAAACCTGCTAAGCAAGTCATCCCCAGATTCCACTGTTGTAAAATGGCTATAGCAATAGTATTTGCACTCTAAGGTTATCATACAGACTAAGTGAAACTGTGTTCTGGCTAAGGATGAATAACTGCACACTAAAACAGAAGAGGAAGTTCTAAATGCATGCGCGAACACACACACACACACACACACACACACACACACACACACACACACTAAATACTTCTTTAAAATAAAATAAAAATTTAAAACAGAGCAGTCTCCACATAGCAGTGCCAGCAAAGACCAGACTGAGTGAGCCTGGTGCTAGAGGGAAGACACCGGACAGCTGACAGGGGTGTGTCCTAAGAGCGCAGAGGGAAGGACGAAGGAGGACTTTTGTATCCCAAAGTAACAACAGGGCCTGAGGGTGTTGGTGATGCCTTATGGTTGAAGACTTGTGAGTGGTTATTATGGCCGGGGAGCGGAGAACCCACCGGGGTGTCACAGAGGGCGAGGAGTCAAGAGCCAGGCACTGCGTCTCCTAGCCCAGTTCTGCATCCCTGAGTTGTTGAGAATCGCAGAGCCACCTATGCAAGCACACTAAAGGGTATGGCTAGGCTTGAGAAACCCACACCTATGATATGGAGTTGAAGTGCTTGTCTCAGGAAGATCTGCTGTTGGAATGCTCCAGGCTGCTAGAGCAGCAAGTGCAAAGGCCCCTGGGCAGGCATATTGCTGTGTTGAAGGAATGGATGCAGAAAGTACGTGTACCTGCTGTGCTTTGGCAACAAGGAAGCTGGGAGGACGCAGGCAGGGGCCACCTGCCAGGCTGGCTGAAGCCACGCAAAGGAGCTTGGACTTTATTTTGAGACTACTTAGTTGGAAAGTCCCTGACCACACGGTCCCCTCTCAGCCAGGTGTTGTAGGGATGGCAAAATTCAAGGAGGCATTCTTGATGTCTCCCCTGTCGCTTTATTTTGGGGGGTCTCCAGGATGCCCTCTGTGAGAGGTTTGCCCCTTCCCCTCTCCCTCCAGGTTTAAGTGAGGACTAAAGGGCTGTGTGTGTGTGTGTCCTACTTGTCCCCAGCACTTAGTGCCAATTGGGTTAGTAGGGAACTATGGAATGAGACACATCATCTTGTCATGATACCTGGCACATGTTCCATTCTAGTTTCTCTAAAGGAAATTTGATGGACTCTTTCCACATTCTCAAGGGTAAACCAGATCCGAAACAGAAATTTCTGCCTCGGGGTCTCCATTAACCTGCCAGGCCACTTGTTTCCCGTCTCTTTTTCCTTTCTACCCCAATTCTGGCACTGCCTAGCCTCTAACCTTCCCTTCTAGTCCCAGATTTGGAGTTTGGGGTATCTAGTGTCAGAGCTCCCCTGGGACTCATGTTTTCTCCCCTCCTTTCAGCCCGGCACACTGCTCCTGTCACTTCCACTTAGGCTAGCCTTATTTGTTTGTTTGTGTTTGATTTTCGTTTCTTGTTCATTTGTTTTCCCAGACACAGTTTCTCTGTGTAGCCCCGGCTGGCCTGGAACTCGGTTTGTAGACCAGGCTGGCCTTGACCTCACAATCCGACTGCCTCTCCTCAAAGGTGCACGCCACCACCACCCAGCTCACTCAGTCTGTTCTGTCCCCAGTGCAGCTCCCCTGCTGGTGTCCTGGCTGACGCCATGTCCCAGAAGCACCTTCAGATCAACCAGACATTCGAGGAGCTGCGCCTGATCACGCAGGACACGGAGAACCAGCTGAAGAAGCTGCAGCAGACCCAAGAGTACTTCATCATCCAGTACCAGGAGAGCCTGCGGCTCCAAGGTGAGCCTGGCGGTGGGATCCGGGATGCCATGAGCATCTTTCAGGTGTGTGTGTGTGTTGGAGGGGGGAGACATTCTGTGATCTCCAGCCGGAGAGGAGGCTCACCATCTCCTGGGCACTATGTCCAAAACCTAGTAAGAATCATCATGGCTTCCAGGGGCTCCCAGCCTCTGCTGTGGTCTCGGCTCTGGGCTAAGCCCTTTGCATGTGTAATGCAAGGCGACCTCCCAAGGAACCTGCAGGGAGCACAGCTTGAGGTCCTTGTTTTACAAGGGGAATTTAAAGAGAACAAATAACTTGGCCTAGGTTGCCTGCAAGTTGCAGAACCAGATCTTAACTAGAGATAGGTCATAAAACCCCTGTATCTTCCTAACCAAGAGTCTCCCCCTAGTCTTAGACAGCCAGTGAGATGTCAGCAAATAGAAGGAAGTGGGCCAAATATACCCCAGCCTGAAGGAGCACTTGACACGGAGTCCACTAGTTGAGTGGGCTGAGTAGAGCTGAAATACAGCCTTGTTCCTAGTTGAGACTCTAAGGGGACTTGGTCCTAGAGGCAGGGTGACTGAAGAATTTCTGCTGTCTTCCAGCTCTGTAGTTTGTCAACGGCTGCTACAGTAAGGGTGTGGGGAAAGAAAACTTACCTTGGAAGGAATTAGCTCCAGGTACATTTGAGTTGTCTTGAGACTGACCCTAGAGATAGGCTGATGCCACTGGTCCAGTGAGAACAGGCAGGGCCATGCTGCCTTTTCCTGTGCCCTTCCTGTTTCTTTCTTCGTCTTCCTTTAAAATAAATATTAACTTGTTCACTTTATATCCTGATCAAACCCCTCCTTCCTCCTCTCCTCCTGGTCCTACCTTCCCACACTCTTCCCCCATCCCCTTCTCCTCAGAAAAAGGGAGCCCCGACCCTCCTGTCCCACCCATCACATCAAGTTGCATCAGGACTAAATACATCCTTTTCCACTGAGGCCAGACAAGGCAGCTAAGGGAAAGTGATCCAAAAGCAGGCAATGGAGTCCATGTCAGAGACAGCCCCCGCTCCACTTGCTAGAGGACCTACATGAAGACCAAGATGCCCATTGGTTACACATATGTATGGGACTTAGGTGAGGTCCAAGCATGTTCTTTGGTTGGTGGTTCGGTCTCTGTTATGACCTAGGGGCATAGGTTAGCCCCTTAATTGGTCTTCTTGTGGAGTTCTTGTCCCCTCCTGGTATCTGGTTTCTCAAGGTAAAGACATAGATATTGATTTTAGTCCTTTCATATGTATTGAGGTTATATAAAGGTATAATCCAAACCCAACTACATTTATGTATACATAGTTATCAACATAAAATATTACAGCTGCCATTGAAACTGTAGGAAAGAGTGATTTTTATTTTGTTAAGACAAGATCTTGCTACGTATCCTTGACTGACCTAGAACTCAGTATTCAGACCAGACCTGACTGGAACTAACAGAGATCCACCTGCCTCTGTCCTCCCAAGTGCTGAGATTCAAGGCATGGAAAGAGTAAATTTTATGCTCTCTTTATGTATATTTTTTCAAAGATACAAATCTCCCTCTACAAACTGCTTTATGGTACCCTGTGCTTTTAAAGATGCTATGTGTGTTCATGCCGTTCACTTTGAAATATTTCTAATCTCGCTCATGCTTGATCTCATCACCTGTGTATTGTTTAGAAATGTATTGTTTGATTCTCATCTGTCTACTGTGTGTCAACGTTGGGCTTTTACTGGCCTTGATGCTATCTCTTATTGAACTCTCCTGTGACTCGAGAATATGACTCGAGTCTCAGCTTGACTGAGACTTTCTTATGGCCCAGTACACGCTCTGTCCTAATGAACATGGCTTGTGTGCTTGAAAAGAATGTGTCTTCTATGGCTGTCTCCTTAAACAACAATCCACCAAAGTTAACATGAAAGGAGAATAAAGAAAAAAAAAATACCCTATAATGTATTTTCCAAAGTCAAATTTAGTGAGTAGAGCAGACGTGGTTATTTGTTTGTTTGTTTTTTCGAGACAGGGTTTCTCTGTGTAGCCCTGCCTGCCAGTCCTGGAATTAGTTCTCTAGGCCAGGCTGGCCTTGAACTCAGATCTGCCTGCCTCTGCCTCCCAAGTGCTGGGATTGAAGAAGGCATTTGCCACCACCGCCCAGCCAGAAGTGCTTTCATAGTCATGTGCTTCCCAACGGTGCTTTGGTCAGCAATGGAGCACAGTTATATGTTACACACATACACGCTACATACCACACAGCCTCGGTACGTAGTAAGCCAGGACATCTAGTTTGTGAAGCATTCTGATATCCGCAAAATGACAAATCCCCTAACCATGCCTTTCTCAGAATACATCCGCATCCTTCAGCAACGCATGACTGTGTTTGCAAATCTCTCTCGTGTTAGCCTTGATAACACGATAGCTGTGTCTTGCTTTCAATCTGTGGTAACGTCTTGTAGCCTCTGGGAAATTCCACTGTGCGGGTTTTAGATATCAAGAGTGAAGACTCAGGACTGGGGATGTAGCTCAGTTGGTAACTTGCTTGCCCCGTATGCCGAGATCCTGGATTCAGTCTGCATAGATTGAATGTGGTGGCCCTTACTTGTAATTCCAGGAATTGGGTGGTAGAAGGAGAAGGATCAGAAGTTCAAGGTCATCCTCAGCCATACAGCAAGTTCCATCTAGCCTGGGCTACACACTGAAACTATATTCCCTACTCAAAAAACATGGCAGGGTAAATACAATCAAAATATATTATATGCATGTATGTGTATAAAACTATCATAGAGAAAATAAGAATTATTTTAAAATAAGTAAATTAAAATGGCATTACTACTCCCAACCATGAAGTTACCAGTTAAAAGCCAAGATTTATTTGCAATAACTTTGTCCTCGGGGTATCTCGTGTTGATATTGCACAGTAAGAAAATTTCTCAAAAATTCTGTGAACGAATTATTTTTGCTCCGTTGTTGTATTATCAATATACTGTGTAATCTGACAATTTAAAAATTTCAGACAAAAGACAAAACAAAAACTATGGCAGGCAATGAAGGTCTTATGGTTTGTGAAAAACGTTTTTCCTTTCTGAGAAACATTTATGGGTCCTTTCTGAGGACGTCAGGTACTCAGGAGGGGTTCCTTAGATGGCTCTTGGAGTCTTTAATTTTCTTTTCAAGTTAGCTTTTTAAAAAATAATGATTTATTTTTATTTTATGTGCATTGGTGTTTTGCCTGTATGTATGTTGGCTCCGCTGGAACTGGAGTTACAGACAATTGTGAGCGCTGTGTGTGTGTGCTGGGAACCGAACCTGGGTCTTTTGGAAGAGCAGCCAGTGCTTTTTAACCAGTGAGCCAGATCTCTAGCTCCGGTCTCTTGATATTTTAAATTACGTCTATTTATTTATTGTGTGTGTTCACACATGTGTACGTGTTTGTGGCGCACGCATGCCGTTGCAGCCTTGTGGAAGTCGGGGAACCATTTGTGGGGGTTGGTGGTTTTCTTCTCTAAGGTGAGGCCTGGGGATTGAACCCAGGCCATTGTGCTGCCTTACAGCGTCTGTACCTCCTGATCTACCTCACCAGGCCGACCCTTTTATTTGAAACAAAACAAAAACCCTTCAGGAGCTGGATTATGCTCATCTCTTCCATCCATCCTTCCTTTCTTTCTTTCTTTCTTTCGTCTTTTCTTTCTTTCTTTTCTTTTCTTTTTTTTTTTTTTTTTTTACAATTTATTTAATTTTGACTTATGTGTCTGTGTGTCTGTGTGAGCTGACGGTGAGCAGCTAGGACATGGGACCGGGAAATTAAACTGGGGTCCTCTGGAAAAGCAGTAAGACCTCCTAATTGCTGAGCATCTATCCTGCCTCTGCCCACCAAGTGCTGGGACTAAAGGTGTGAGCCGCAACTCCTGCCTTATCCTGGTCATTCTCAAATTTTCTTTTCTTTTTTTTTACTTCCTTTCTTCTTTTCTTCTGTGTGTGAGTGTGTGTGTGTGTGTGTGTGTGTGCGCGCGCGCGCCCTGGTGTCCTTGTGTACTTCTGTATGTGGAGGCCAGGGGTTGGTTTCTAGAGTCTGTCTCGGTTTTTCTCCTCCGTAATTTTGGAGTTCTTTGAGCTTCACAGATCCTCCGTCTCGGGCCCCTGCCCCCACCCCTCTATGGAACTGGGGTTTCAGACGAACACCTTCATGCTGGGCTTTTATGTGGGTGCTGGGGGTGCAAACTCAAGTCCCTATTGCTTGCAAGTAAACACTTCACTCGCTGAGCTATTTCACTGGCCCCTTATCCATGCTTTTAAAAAATTTATAGCGTGCCAAGACCAGTTGTAACATAAGGAGGTTTTTATAATGTAGACAGCGTACTATAGAGTTTTGCTTTGTATTTATTCTATTTTATTTTTAGGCTAAGGCAGGCTTCAGCCTCACTGTGTACCTGACAATGGCCTTGAACTCCTGGATCTCCTGCCTCAGCCTCCCAAGCACTGGGATTGCAGGAATGAATGTACCACCAGCTCCTGACAATCCATTTTTAGTTGAGCTGTTCCTATTGCCTGTGTACAGATCTTGCTTCGGATTCTGAGTGAGGCTTGCATCCCTGTGCATGTAGTGTCAATTTTTCTTGCTTATCCTGCTCGATACTGAAAGCACAGAAGGTTGGAAATGTAGTTCAGTAAACAAACATTGGGCTGGCTGGCGTGTGCGAAGCCCTGGGTTTGATCTCCAGTGCTGCAGATCAAAACACGAAGTACTCATCTGTTTGCAGAAGGGTAGACCCAGTTCCTCCAGTGGAGACCACAGTTGACTTGGGTCTTTTGGCCTCATTCCCAGAAGCCTGTGTAAATAGCCAGGAGACACCAAAATGGATCCTTGAAGGGGAGTCTGGGCCAGGGTATTGGCCCTCTGTGTTCAGCAGGATGCTCTGAGTCTAAGAACTCCTGCCTCCCGCCACCCAGGAACATGGTTCCCATAGTCCTGTGGTCTCGTCCTGGCTGCTAGTGCCGCTTTTGTCTATCCGAGCTTGTGTGTCCCTGGGGCAAGAACCAGGTCAGTGTGACACGGTTCTCAGAGGCCAGCTGGGAACTTGAATAAGACGTGCCAGTATGTACAGGTTCTTGACTAGACCTGAGCAAGGATACCGGGAGGCTCCAGGGCCACTGGAACAGGGGAGGGTTGCTAGCAGTGGGGGCAGACAGGCAGCTTCAGGTGTTGGCTGCTGAGCTGAGCTGAGTGAGCTGAGCAAGCAGAGCTGCTGAGTTCGTGTCCGGCCCACCGGTGTCTCAGGATCTCTTCTCGAATGTTAAAAGGAGCTGGAGTGGGGGATAAGGATGTAGCTTCAAGATCCGAGTGTCAACACACACCTGTGACACACACACACACACACACACACACACACACACCACAGACACTTGAGAACACTCGCCTGCATGTACACGCACACGCTCACAGGCACACACAGGTAAGGGCATTAGGACCTCACTCAACACCTGTTCCTGCCACTCAGGGGCTTCCCAGCAACTGGTGTTGAGACACTGTCACTTCTTGTCCCTGATGAGACTCTTGCTAATGGTATCCAGGAGATCCTGGAAACACTTGTCTATCTATCTGGCACTCTCCTTCCTTCTTAGTTAGGTGCTTAGCTGAACCCATGGTGACCCACCCCGGTCAGGCACCATGGACAGTCTCACTGCTCCTGAGAAAACAGGGCTGAACTCAAGGAATGAATGAAGGAGACGGAAAAGCCAGTGCTTCTGAATGGGTTTCCCACGTCAGGGACAGAGCCAAGGGGGTGTTTTCTGTCACCCAGCATTTCTAACCTTCCTCTGTCCACCAGTTAGGACCAAACTGGAGAGATCCTAAACGCAACAGGCAGTTTTCAGAGCGTTTCCTGTATCATCAGTTTTTCAGTCACCATAGTAGCCCACTAAGCTGGTGTCAGGACTCTCCCCTTGTACAAGTGGGGAAACTGAGGCACAGAAAAGCAAGGTATTTGCCCATCTTCGCCTAGCTCTTAAGCAGCAGGGCTATGTGTACCCATTTCTAAGTCCTGTGGGGAGGGCGTACCGACATGTGTGGGGCAGTCAAGGGCCGCCAGGCAGGGCCCTCTTCTGCCTCATTCTGGACACCTGCTCCAACTGCTCAGGGGAGATTCGGCAGGCTTGTGAGCAGAGCCTAGAAGCTCTAGGGAACAGCATTGGGCAATCATGCCCTGGTCGGCACCCTGATTTGTTACTGATGGGCTGTCTGCCTGGAAAGCCCACTCCAGAGCACATGAGTGCAGGATCCCTAAGGTTCCTGATAGACGCAGGAGAAGCCCTCTGTGTGCTGGGCAGAGAGGCAAGAACTGCCAAGGAATTGCTTTCTCATCAAGTGACCGCTCCCAGCCCAGCAGAGACTAGGTCAGGAGAACCCTAAAGGGAGACTAGAGACCACCTTCTGGGGGAGCCCCTTCCTCACAGGACGCCATGACTAACTGAAACCCTGACTCAGGTGGACGGGATGTCTGGCCCTGAGAATGGGAGACCCTCCAGACTTCCCGCTGGACATAAGAAATGATGGTGGTGGGTGTCTGTCCCCTCCTCCAGCTCAGTTCGCCCAGCTGGCTCAGCTGAACCCCCAGGAGCGCATGAGCCGGGAGACGGCCCTCCAGCAGAAGCAAGTGTCCCTGGAGACCTGGCTGCAGCGAGAGGCGCAGACGCTGCAGCAGTACCGCGTGGTTAGTGGGTCCCGCGCCCCTCTGCCCGGGAGGGGGCTCTGTCACCTGAGACCCGGGGCACCAGGTGGGGGCAGAGCCAAGGTGAGAGCATGTGAGGTGCAGCAGGTGTGAGAGGGCGGGGCCGGGCCCCGGGTTCTAGGCCGGGCCCTGTGGGATGCTTCCCTGAGGCCAGAAGGCTGCTGTGCCCTCCCTCGTGCAGGAGCTGGCTGAGAAGCACCAGAAGACCCTGCAGCTGCTGCGGAAGCAGCAGACCATCATCCTGGACGACGAGCTGATCCAGTGGAAGCGGCGGCAGCAGCTGGCCGGGAACGGGGGTCCCCCCGAGGGCAGCCTGGATGTGCTGCAGTCCTGGTGAGGGCGAGAGGTGGGCAGGGTGGGCAGGGGCTTGGGCGATGATGCCAGCGGCCTCTTCTGTACCTCAGTTGGCAGCTCTCGCTATAGCAGTGTCTTGGCTCCTGCTGGGACGTGGCTCTCCCAGGGGGTAGTGGTGCCTTGGAATGGGCAGGGCTACTCTTGAGCTGGTTGGTTCCAAGTTGAGGCCACCCTGCTTGTCCTCTGCAGGGTACTGGTGGCTAAGGCCAGCATCTTGTGTGTGTGTGTGGGGGGGTACTTTGTAAGGAGGAAGGAACAGTGTCATGTGGCCTCCTCCCCTGGCCTGGGCTGGAGCAGGAGCCACTGTCCCTCTGAGGGCCCTGGGCTCCTTGCAGGTGTGAGAAGCTGGCTGAGATCATCTGGCAGAACCGGCAGCAGATCCGCAGAGCCGAGCACCTCTGCCAGCAGCTGCCCATCCCAGGCCCCGTGGAGGAGATGCTGGCCGAGGTCAACGCCACCATCACAGACATCATCTCAGCCCTGGTCACCAGGTGACTGCTGCCTCCTGGCCATGCTCAGAGGGGCATGGCAGTTCCTGGGGGTGGACATGTGAGGCCCAGGAGCTGTCCAAACTGAGCTCTCTGCCCTCTGCCCTCCGCACCCACTGTGGCTCCAGTAGCTCTGCTGCTGTGGCTGTTCTGGCCGCATGTGTTGGGGACACTGCAGGAAGGACCGTGGTACCCAGCCTCTCTCCAACCCCCCAAGTCCTTCCAGGGAACAGAGGCCATGCCCCCTCCTCTGCCTGTCTCCCCCGCTCCCAGGCCCCACAGGAAGATCCCCCCTCCTCCCTGGGCCACCAGCTCTCTCCCCTGAGCCAGCCTCTGGCCAACTGTCTGGCCCCTGTGTTCCCTGCAGCACCTTCATCATCGAGAAGCAGCCTCCTCAGGTCCTGAAGACCCAGACCAAGTTTGCAGCCACCGTGCGCCTGCTGGTGGGGGGGAAGCTGAATGTGCACATGAACCCCCCGCAGGTGAAGGCCACCATCATCAGCGAGCAGCAGGCCAAGTCCCTGCTCAAGAACGAGAACACCCGCAAGTGAGTGTGACTGTCCCTCCCTGCTGGGGTCGGGGGCTCTTTCTCGTGCTCAGGTGGGGCCTGGATGTGGGCGTAGCCCAGTTCTCACCTCTTCCAAGCATTCATGTGTCCCTGGCTCTTCGTAACACGCCTCTCTCCTTCCGAGTGCTTTCCTAGCCTTGCCTGTGTCTGACGCCTAGGAGGACGTCACTGAACTGCCATGGGCCCAGTCACATGTGCTGGGCAGTGGGTACCCCACTGTGGTCCAAGGAGAGCTTGCCTCCCTCCTGCCTGGACCACTGACCTAGTAAAGCATTCTTTGTTCAATAAGCTGATTGCTGATATGCCTGTGCGCGCGCGCATGCGCGCGCGCGCGCGCGCGTACACACACACACACACACACACACACACACACACACACACACACACAGGGGCTCATGTTGCTGGCGGTGAGAATGGACATTTAGAGCCTGGAGTGGTAGGTTAATACAGCCTACATTTCCAGGTCTTGGGAGGCAGAGGCAGGAGGATCAAGAGATCAAAATCATCTTCAGGCTCCACAGTCAGTTTGAGGCCCGCCTAGACAACAAAGGGACGGACAAACAAACAAACAAACAAAAACAAAAAAAAACAAAACAAAAGACCCACAACAAACAAACTCAGCCAGGCATGGTGGTGCACCTTCCTCCCAGCGCCTGGGAGGCAGAGGCAGGTAGATCTCTGCAAGTTTAAGACCAGCCCGATCTACGCAGAGAGTTTCCGGCCAGCCGAGGCTGCACAGTGAGACCCTGTCTTACCAAATAAACAAAAATCTCTGGATGTTGCTAGAGCAGCAGGGGTTGGGGAGAGAGGAGTTTGTTCTCAGGCAGACACCACATGTTGAGCTGTAAGAGTGTAGACAAGCGCATGGGAACTGAGAAAAGGGTCAGGAGAAGCCACCCATGGAGTGCCTGAATGATTGAATGAGTGAGTGAGTCATACAGGAGGCTTGTGCCATCTTTGATGGTCCCATTAAAAACATGTCTCCCAGGCCCGGGGATGTCAGTTAATGACGCTGTGTCTGCCCAGTGTGCAAAGCCCTGGGAGACCTCGGTACCACACTGTGGGGCTGGGCTCCCCTCTCTTTGCAGCGAGTGCAGCGGCGAGATCCTGAACAACTGCTGCGTCATGGAGTATCACCAAGCCACGGGCACCCTCAGCGCCCACTTCAGAAACATGGTGAGGACCGGTTCGCCTTGGAGAGGGGGGGGTCTACCCGGGGCTGGGGCTTGGTGGCCATTTTCCCCCTGGCTTTTCAGTCACTGAAAAGAATCAAGCGTGCTGACAGGCGTGGCGCAGAGTCCGTGACGGAGGAGAAGTTCACGGTCCTGTTTGAGTCTCAGTTCAGCGTCGGCAGCAATGAGCTGGTTTTCCAGGTGAAGGTAAGGCCCCAGCCACTCCATCCACTGAAGGCGGACGGCTTAGCTCAGGGACCTGCCTGAGGTTACCTGGCTCTGGTAGGAAAGGTGCAGATTGAGCTGGTTGTGACGGCGGTGTGCACCTGTAAACCCAGGAGTTAGGAGCTAAGGAGGAGGACCGCAAGTTGAGGGCGAGCCTAGGCTACATAGAAAGGTCCTGGGCCAGGCTGAGCTACCAAGGAAAATCATGTCTCAAAAAGAAAAAGAAACCCCCCCCCAACAAACAAACAAATAAGCAAACAAAAAACAAAAATTGCCATGGCTGGAGGCTAGAGAGATGGCTCAATGGTTAAGAACACTGGGTTCAATTCCCAACGTCCACATGGCAGCTCACAACCATCTGTAACTTCGGTTCCTGGAGATCCATTACCCTCTCTGGTCTCCATGCATAATGATGAGTATAGATAGGGCACATACATTCTTGTAGACAAATGTAGACAAAACACTCATACAATAAATCTTAAAAAAAAATAAAATAAAAGGAGCTGGAGGGATGTTTTCAACAGCGCTTAAGGGCATTTGCTATTGTTGCAGAGGACCTGGGTTCTGTTCTCATTGCCTGGATGGCTCACAACCGCCTATAGCTCTGGTTCCAGGGGATAGGCAACCTCTCTGGCCTCCATAGATACCATTATGCTTGTGGCAAACATATGGGCATTCAGGCACATGCGTGCATATGAGAAAACCAACAAAAATGTAGAGTGTGCAAGGTGGCCTAGCTGATGCAAGCTCTTGCTTTACAAGCGGGACAACCTGAATTTGATCCCTGCACTCCTGAAAAAATTGCTCTTCCTGATGTTCCCATGCATGCTATAACACATGCTCTCGCTCTCTCTCTCTCTCTCTCTCAAGCACATACTTAAAATAATAGATAAAATTTAGAAAGCCGCCTAGGGAATCTATCTCAGTTCCTAGATTGCCTGCCTAGCATGCAGGAAACCCTAGGTCTGATCCCCAGCACCATAAAAAACCAGGAACAGTGGTGCACACTTGTAATCCTAGAGGTCTAGGCAAGAGGATCAGAAGGTTATGGCCATCCTCAGTTACATAAAGATACAGGAGACCCTGTTTGCAAAACAATACACAATACAAAATATCAAAGCAGGGGCGGTGGTGGCACTCGCCTTTAACCCTAGCGCTTGAGAGGCGGAGTGAGATAGATCTCTGAGTTCGAGGCCAGCCTGGTCTACAGAGTGAGTTTCAGGACAGCCAAGGCTACACAGAGAAACCCTGTCTTGAAAAATCAGGAAGAAAAAAGCCATGGGGCTCTGAGTTCTCTTGTCTCGGTCCGGTCACCCTGCAGCACCCTGTGAACCCGCTTGGAGTCTACAGGCACCTGTTTGCCGTGTTACTCAGGCAGTAGGCTAAGAGGACCTATACCCTCAGGGTTCTCTGTTTTTGTTTTAGAGCGAAGTCTTGCTATACAGCCTTAGGGTAGCCCTGACTCCACGGTCCTTCTGCCTCCTTCTTCTGAGACCTGGGACTACAGGCATGAGCCAAGCAGCCTACCTCATGCTGCTTGGCTTACGTTTAGAACTCTTGGGAAGGGCCTGTGGCCTGTGGTGGGTTTGTGACAAGGGTTGGGAGTCTTGCTTATGCAGGGGACACGCTGTGTCGAAACCCTTCAACTCTTACTCTCTGACTTCCACAGACCCTGTCCCTCCCCGTGGTCGTCATTGTTCACGGCAGCCAGGACCACAATGCTACTGCCACCGTGCTGTGGGACAACGCCTTTGCCGAGCCGGTGAGTTCTTCTGGGCCCCTCCACCTTGGCCCTCAGGCCCCAGAACTGTGCTCAGATTAGTCTAACTCCTTAGGCCTCAGCTAGACAGCGAGGTAAGTACCTGACCCACTGGCTGGCATGTCCTAAGGCCCTGATTGCTTCCCTCAGGGACAGGGCTGGTTTCTAGGCCTGGTCTTTGCCCTGTCTTTGCCCTGCCTTTGCCCTGCCTTTGCCCTGCCTTTGCCCTGTGGCTGGGGTCCCTGACCTCTGTCTTCAATCCTATGGATTGGCCTTTGCTTCTGCTGGACCCCACTATCTCTTCCTTTCTTTCCTCCCTGTGTCTGTCTGTATATTCTCTCTGGGTGCTTCTCAGTCCTTTCTGTCCCGTAGTCCCTGCCTATTTCATGTATGCATTGTGTGTGTGCACGTGCGGGCGTGAGTGTGTGAGCCTGTGTGTGTGTGTGTGTGTGTGTGTGTGTGTGCCTGTGTGAAGACATTTCCAGCTCCCCTCAGTCTGCCCTTTCTTCTCTTTCCTTCTCTCCGTCTCAGGGCAGGGTGCCGTTTGCCGTGCCTGACAAGGTGCTGTGGCCTCAGCTGTGTGAGGCGCTCAACATGAAGTTCAAGGCCGAAGTGCAGAGCAATCGGGGCCTGACCAAGGAGAACCTGGTGTTCCTGGCCCAGAAACTGTTCAATATCAGCAACAGCCATCTCGAGGACTACAGCAGCATGTCCGTGTCCTGGTCCCAGTTCAACCGGGTGAGTGGCTGGCCCCCTGCTACCTGGAGACCATCGAGGTCCCGGCACACTTTCTTTTACCTTGAAGTCTGGTGACCACCCTCTGAGGCTAGCGTCCCATCCTCCACCTCCCCTCACCCCCCACGTTTCCTATAATCAGGGGAGGTTGACACTTAGACCACAGAAATGCAAACAGGGACCTCGAGGTATCACGTCCAGCCAAGTGAGCCAAAGCAGACTGATAAGAAGAACCCTGAGCTGGAATCCACTCATGGCCACTGAGTCCTGGGCCTTCTTTGCTCTTTGTTCCTCAGTTTTTTTCCATCTGTCCATGAAAGGACGGGGCAAGAATGACCTTCATAGGTCTCTCCAGCCCAGACAACAATTCTTATCATCTATCCCCACTCAGGATTGCCCCCTTGTGTGGAGGATTGTGAGGACCTGGGTAGGGGGGTGTCAGTTTGTGGCCCGCTGGGAAGAGTTGGGGGCAGGGGTGGTGGGAGCTGAGGACCCCTGAGCTGCTGTGACCAGGGCTGTCCTGGGCCCCGCAGGAGAACTTGCCTGGCTGGAACTATACCTTCTGGCAATGGTTCGACGGGGTGATGGAGGTACTGAAGAAACACCATAAGCCTCACTGGAACGATGGGTGAGGAGCAGGCCCCGAGGGGCAGCGGGCGGGTGGAGGGCTCTGGGAAGGGTGCCCGCTTACTCAGCAACGACGCCGAATGTACCACACGCTCAGGGCCATCCTCGGCTTTGTGAACAAGCAACAGGCCCACGACCTGCTCATCAACAAACCAGACGGGACCTTTCTGCTGCGCTTTAGCGACTCAGAGATCGGAGGCATCACCATCGCTTGGAAGTTTGACTCCCGTGAGTGTCCATCCTGCCCACACCCCGGGCGCCAGATCTCTGACCGCCACTTCCTCACTCCCGCGTCCGCGAGCACCCCTGTCCAGGAGAGGCAGGAACTGAGCTCAGAGTATGGGAGGCGTGGGAAGGGAAATAGCTTTTCTTCCCATCCCTTTTGGTCTCCAAGAACCTAAAACCACTGACCCCACAGAGGGCAGACACCTGGTGAGTCCCCGAGGTTTCATGCCGCCCCACCTCTTGCACACACAGTTTGCTGGGTAGAAATGTTCCAGCATGAGCTCTTCCTGCATGAGAAAGCAGGAAGGCTGGGGTTGCAGTGCATGCTGGGAAAGGCTCTGATTTTTTTTTTTTTTTTTTTTTAAGCAATTCTTAAAATCCCACAATCCTCTTGTGAGGGCAGCCTTTTGAACAAATTGTCCTTTTCACAGCGGACCGAAACCTCTGGAATCTGAAGCCGTTCACCACCAGGGATTTTTCTATTCGGTCTCTGGCCGACCGGTTGGGGGACCTGAGCTACCTCATCTATGTGTTTCCAGACCGACCCAAGGATGAGGTCTTTGCCAAGTACTACACTCCTGTGCTTGGTGCGTCCTGCCACCCGGAGGGCTGGGCAGAGGGCATCTCGTTTGTGGGCTTTGGGTCTCAGCATGGAGGATTCAAGGGCTCACACCTGAGGAGAGAGAAAGCGAGCCTGGCCCCAGCTTTCTTCTCTGCTGAGCAGAGAGCTAAGTTCTCAATGCGACACCCATGGAGAAAGAAGCAGAAGAGTTGGGGGAGGAGCTGGGATCATTTCCCACAAAGAGTTACTTTTCTGCCCCTCTACTCAGCAGCTCTCATCACTTTCCATGGCCCCTCAACCCACCCAGCAAGTCTCAAGTTAAACAGGGAGGCGAAATGGATGGGCTCTCCTCTCTGTGCGGTCCATTGGTGGGGTTTGCATCTTGTTGATGCCATGCAAATGGCAGGAAAGAAAGCAGGAGAGAAGATAGGTTGAAAGCAGGGATCAGAGCGGCCCTCAGGCTCGATCCATCAGCAGGGGTTTATCAAAAGTCCCTGTAAAATCTCCTCCCTGAGAAAGCTCCGGCGGGGTGGTGTGGGCAGGAGGCTGAGGGCCTGCTGTTCTCACTGCTCTTCTCCCCCTTTGTAACCCTGCCCCGCAGCAAAAGCAGTCGATGGGTACGTGAAGCCGCAGATCAAGCAAGTGGTCCCCGAGTAAGTGTCCAGAGCCCAGCTCTGTTCTCCTGCTGCCTCTCTATCCTCTTCTCGCTCTTCCTCCGACACTGGGGCTTAGACCTTGAGAAGGAAAGATTCCACGGTATCAGGATGGCACCCAGGACCTCACACCTATAGCTTGAGCCTTAGAACCCAATGGGGACGCTTTGGCCAAAAGACATGAGGATGCTACAAGCCCCTCCCCCAGTCTGTGCCACTGGTCTCTCTCTGGTCACCAAGGCTGTGTTCTGCTTCCTTTCTCAGGTTCGTCAATGCATCCGCAGATGCCGGAGCCAGCGCCACCTACATGGACCAGGCCCCATCCCCAGTAGTGTGTCCTCAGGCTCACTACAACATGTATCCGCAGAAGTAGGTCGTTTTTTCACGGGGGTCCATGGGGTGGTACTGGGGCTGGGCCTCAAGCTAGACTCCTGAGGGTCAAAGGCATCCAGAGGTCCCCGGATTTGATTGCACCCAGCCCAGGCTCTAGTCTGCCCAAGCATTTTGGAGCTAGACATCTAGGGTCCTGGTCCTCATTCTGGTGCAGTCTATATGATCCCGAGAAAAGTTTCTCAGACGCACATGTAAATTAGAGGTAAAAGGTGTTCCTGCTCCGTGGAACTGGGATGAGGCTCAGAGGAGACAGTGACGCAAAACCTTTCCGTGTAAGGTCGTCAGAGTGGATACAAGGTGGGAGCAGAACAGAGTTGAGCCCTTCCTAAGTGGTGGTGTAGGCTGGATGGCTGGGATTAGGGAACACACTGGAGCTGAGCCACCGCACTTGGAAATCACAAAGACTTGGATTATTTCAACTTTAAAGTTTTAAATTTTCTCTCTCTCTCTCTCTCTTGCTTTGTGTGTGTGTGTGTGTGTGTGTGTGTGTGTGTGTGTGATAGCTTATGTCAATCAGTTCTCTCCTTCCACCATGTGGGTTCCGGGATTGAACTCAAGGCATCGGGATTGATTTGTTGGCAAGTGTCACTGAGCTATATCACTAGCCTCTGTTATTATTTATTTATATCGTATATATATGTGCACATAGATATGCGTCTGTGCAGCTCTGTGGACGTGTGCATGCGTGTGGAGGCAGGGAGCAATGTCAGATGTTTCTTAATTACTTTCCACCTTTTTTGTTTTGTTTCGTTTTGTTTTTTCTGATTCTGTCTCTTACTGAGCCTGAAGCGTATCTATTTGTCTAGGCTGGCTGGCCAGACTTCCAAAGCTCCTCCTGTGTCTGCCCTCCTCACCCCCCAGTGCTGGGGCTCCAGACACACGCTGTCACACCCCGCTTTTTATGTGGGTGCTGCAGATCTTAACTCAAGCCCTCATGCTTGTGAAGCAGCGACTTGACTAAGCCGTTGTCCCAAGCCTCCTCTGAGAGTTCTTACTGGCAATGTGCGGGTTGTACGAAGGGATGGGTTCCATGATGCCGTTATTCTTCCAAGACCTAAGCTCTGATTCGCTTTCTTTTCCAAAAAGACAGGGTCTGTGTAGTCTGGGCTAGCCTGGAACTACGTAGTCCAGGCTGGACCTCATAGAGCTCCACCTGCCTCTGCCTTACAAGTGAAAGCTGGGATTTAAAATCTTGTACCAGCACACACAGGAAGACCTAGATTCTGATTCTAGCTGCAGCTGGCGTAGATTAAGTTTCCCTGTTCCTAATTTGCATCTTTAAGGAGACAGTTGGAGGTTTGGCTTTAAGCAGCCAAAAGCTCCCACGGGGGGCTCAGTGGACGGTGTGGTAGCACAGAGTGAAGAATGTCCCAGGTGAGTGGCCAGTCACCTTGTGTTACGGAAGACTACAGGTGAGGGAAGACGAACTCCCCGAGATCACAATATAAAGCAGGAGAGCCAAGCGGAAGTAGATTATCTTCCCAGGTTCAGCCTGGTCGGCATTCTAGCCAGGCTGCTCCGGGTCCTGTCTTCCCTAGGACTCTCTATGGGGGTCTGGAGCCACGAGACCTGACAGTTTCCTCAACATCCCGCTCTTTTCCAGCCCCGACCCCGTCCTCGACCAAGATGGCGAATTTGACCTGGATGAGACCATGGATGTGGCCAGGCACGTGGAGGAACTTCTGCGCCGGCCCATGGATGGCCTGGAGCCCCGCCTCTCCCCACCTGCTGGCCTCTTCACCTCTGCCAGAGGCTCCCTGTCCTGAATGCTGGAGTCCACGCTTCTCTTAGAAAACCACCTGCGGTATGAAGGGCCCGTGTCCGTTGTGACTGTAGGATCTCTGTATATACCGATGGCTTTGTGCACGCATGCGCATTTGTGCAGTGAGCAGCGGCCGTGCCGCCTCAGCCGCCCAGGTCTGTGGCTAAGCTAGTGGTGGCCTTTTGGTTCAGACCTCAAGGGGCCCCTGGGTCTATCACAGAAAGAGCTGAGCCTAGCACTGTAGACAAACCTGTCTCTCCAGTTTCCTTTATCTGTCCAATGGCTATTTAAGTGAAATGATTCTAGAAAAGTAAGGCAGGCAGGTTTAGGCAACCAAATGAAAGCTTTACTCCTAAACTAGAAGCTTCACCTAGATTGGGGCGCACCTGTCCTCACACACAGGTGACTGCCTCGTTGATGTGCTCCCTCTGGAGGGAGACTGGGCTTCATCTTAGTGACCCTTCATACTTTAGTAAATATGGGCTGCAGACTGAACCCTCAGCCTATCTGAGCTGCAGCCATCTACGCGGCAGCCCCGGTTCATGTGAGTCAGGGCTGCCACAGCCAGTCCCTGGGCTCTCATCTTTGAGCCAGGTTGGACATGGCTTCCCAGTCTCGTTGCCTTGTCCACATTCCCAACCTCCCTTTCATCCCACCTGATATCCTCAGCCTTCCATATGGACTCGTTCTTCCTGCTTTCTTATTTGCTTGTTTGTTCTTTGAGACCCATGTAGCCCAGGATGACCATGAATGATCCACCCCCCACCCCACCCCCAGCTTCTAGAGTGCTACGATTACAGGCATGCACGACCACACCCGGCCTCAGCCTCTCTCCCCTTTCTCTTTGCAACCTTGCTTACTCTCAGAAAAGAGGGGACTACTGGGAATAGGAGACCTGGGGAGAAAAACCTCTAGCACGTTAAGAGCAGCAGGCAACAGTCTGTAGGGTTTTGCAGAGCACTCAGTGGGTCCGCCCTGTCGGGAGGTGGAACCTGGAACAGGCTTTGCACCGTTGCATCATGGGTTGTGGTCTAGGAAGGCCTCTCGGCAGCTCCTCCCTCTGAGGCTGACAGGGCAGCCAGGGCTAGCTGACTAGGAGTCCTGGCTTCCAACTTCTCTGAAGGGAGGGATGCTTTTTATATTTTGTACATAGACCTCATGTTTATGTAAACAGTGTTTTTGAATAAAGTTTGTGTTTGTTTGTTGTAAATCTACCAGTCTGCCTCCTGGTTTAGTGAGCTAGTAATAGGCCTCATTAAAGTTGAAGATGTTTCGCTCCCATTTTAGCTTGGGGTTACCTCTACTCCCTTTGCTGTGATCTCAAGAGTAGAATAGTGTCAGAAAGCTAAAGAACTCGTGTGTGTGTGTGTGTGTGTGTGTGTGTGTGTGTGTGTGTGTGTGTG